GGTCAGACCCGTTATTTCATGGTGACCGGAACTGTATGCAGTACTCTAGATGTGGCCTGACCAGAGAACTCTATGATTTTGAGTATGACTTCTGGAGATCTAAACTCAACTGATAAAGAGTGATATGACATGGAAACAGTGCATTCAGCCCATCTAGTCTGTGCCAGTGTTTATATTCCACACAAATCCCCAGCACTCCTCTTCCCCTCTCCTACACACATCTATTCCCTTGTCCCTCATGCATGAATTCCTATAGCCCAGCTTCCTGTTAGCCTTGTTTATTGCTGCCTCACATTGTTTTGACTTGCTGAACAATGAGCCAACTAATACCCCAAGATATCTTTCAGCCAATTCTATAGCCAAGGACTGAAGCTTGTAAGCATATCTCCACCAGCAAAGATTCTGTTGCCGTCTGTGATAAAAAGAAAAAAAAACATTGTTTTAATGGAGTTGTACACACAAATAGGACAGAAATACTGTGATACTATTCGAAAAAAGTAAGTTTCTCTCACAGTCCTGGCCAACAATTCCCCAAATGTAATTGGTACTCACTTTATAGCTGTTTGTGGGACACTGCTGTATGCAAATTGGCTGCTGGGTTCACCTACAAAAAAAATTAAAGTCAATCTACGTTACAGTATATTCTGTGAAGTGATTTGAGTCGTCCTCCTAACATGAAAGGCACTATATCAAATGTAAGGATTATTGTTATAAACACAATATACTGTATCACTAATATTAAAATATAAATCATGCAATAGAAAAATAAAATCTTTACCTTTTCATATACTTAATTATCCATTATGTAGTACTTCAATTATACAATAATAATAATAATAATAGTAATCCTTGCATTTGATATAGCACCTTATCATGTCGCCGAAACATCTCAAAGCACAACAAAGAATATACTGTAAAGTGGATTGACCATGTATTCTGTGTGCCAGGTCAGCCTGGCTCAGTTGGCAACACATGTCTTTGGGTCAGGGAATTTGTGGGTTCAATCCATTTTTGAAACTTGGGACTCATAATCTGGGCTTATACTTCAGTGCAGTACTGGGACAGCACTAAATTGTTAGGGGTGCTATGTTACAGAGGAGATGTTAAACTGAGAATTTGTCCATCTGCTCAGGTGGACGTTTCAATGGCTGAGTTAAGGCGGAGGTTATAAGGAACTTTTTCACTCGGATGGCTGTTACGACATGGAATACTGTGTCACAAGTGACCATTAAAGCAGAGATCACAATAACATTTAAACAGGAATCAGATAACACTTGAAGAGGATCATATACATTTAAACAGGAATCAGATGACACTTGAAGAGGATAATCATTTGTGTTAGGTAAAGAGATATTTGTTAGGGAAGGGTAATTAAGCACTCAGAAACACTACCCTACGTGGAAGGCACTATATAAGTGCAAGTTGTTGTTAGGTATCAAGGGATATGGGGCAAAAGTGGGTAATTAGAATTGAGGTACAGATCAGCTATGATCTAATAAAATGGTGGAACAGGTTCGAGGGGCTGAATGGCCTCCACCTGTTCCAAATAAAAAAAGATAAAAGCATATAAGGGAAATGGGATTTGAGTAGTCAACTCTAGTGGAGGAGGTGAGATGGCAAGCAGTGGAAGGACAGGGCCCAACTACAAGGGTTTAAGGCTGAGGCTTGTCACACCAGTGGCCAGACATTGACAAAACTAACTTTTCTGCGATGCTATCATTGTCACTGAAGAAAAACAATGGGCAAATTTGACCAATGATAGTTATATTATATCAGCATTTTCATCCATATCCCTGGAGCTCAGATATGCATTTAGATTCTTCGGATGAGATGTTAAACCGAGGTCCCACCTGTCTATTCAGGTGGATATTAAAGATCCCATGGCACGACTTGAAAAAGGAAGGGATTTTTTTCCAGGGTCTTGGCCAACAATCTCCCAAATAAAATTGTTCATTCCCTTCATGGCTGTTTGTGGGACATTGCTGTGTGCAACTTGGCTGCCGTGTTTGCCCACAAAGCATCTACAGTTACACCACTTTACAGGATATCCTGTGAATCGCTTTGGGACACCCTCCTGATGTCCAATGCAAGGATTATATGCTCTTAAATTCTAGTTCAGGAAGAGTGAAAAGATGGACCCGTTACGAAATGGTTTTCAAAGTTTGCGATTTTTGAAAAAAAAATGGATTTGAGTCTAAACTCAGAATTCCTAAAACTTGCCATTTCCAGAGACAGAAACTTGAATTTCTGCCCAGGGGTTGTACATTCTGATCTGATGTGACTGGCATTAAAACTTTCCAGTTCTTGGCTTCGGATTCAAACTGAATTGAAATATTTCCAGACTTTTGTGCAGTCTTAAATTATATAACCAATTGGTTTTTCAGGCTAAATTTGGGTGTCATTTCAGGCCTTATCTGCTCTGTTGCATATCTAAGCGCGCTGAAACCCATGTGTAGGACGCTATATAAATGCAAGTTGTTGTTATTGATTCAATATGGATACTGGTGTAAGCTATTTTACATTGCTAGCATAGTTTTATTACTTCCAAGTCAAAATAATTTGCTGCAGCAAATGTGAACAGTGCCCTCAGCTATTTATTAATGGTTCAAATTAATTGTTGAGGGAACTATTCATGTCTGCCTGATGATTTTAAAACTTTAAGGCTGATTCTTATTTTTAAATTCATGTTTTACTGAAACTGATGAGATAATAGTAAACGAGAGAAGCCCACAATGCATATGAGGCTTTCCGACTTTGATTTTTAATTGTTCTGGTATTATAGTAACATTTGAAATTGAATTTTGCCAACAAATGGACACATTTACCAATTCTGTTGCATATTACTGTACTGGGAAATATTAAATAGTGTTAACTCTCTATTAAGAGCAGTTTAACTCTCTATTAAGAGCAATCAGTAGACTGGCCTATTCTGGTCTTATTCACTAATTTGGGATTTAGGTTACAGTCAGTTTCAAATGAAAGAAAAACAAGACTGTGAAAAGGCTCCTGAACAGTGAGTTGCTCTCATGGCTGAGGTCCTCACAAGATGAAGCTCAAATTAATATAAAAAGTCTTTTATTCTGAGATATTACCTTTGGAGATCAGGGTAAAAAAACATCTTCGAAATAAATCAGTCAGTCACAGTCTCATCAGCTGTGGACATGAGTCTCCAGTTTTTGAACCATTCTTCACAATCTGCCTAAACATATCCCAAATCGAACAAGTTTCCTTCCGAAAAGTTTTTGTTTTAATTGTAATTTTAAGCACTGGACTTTTGAAATAACGAGCAAGATTTGTGCATTTTACATCCGAATATATTGGAAGGTCTGATGGTCGTGCATGTATGTGTATTTTGGGGTGGGGGTATGTGTGTGTGTGTGTGTGTGGTGGGGGGGTGTTTGACTTTATGCAATAGACCTTCACTGAACTGAAAGCGTTTCTACAACTGCTCCATCCAGACTTCAGTGTCAGCAGTGCTGGAGGGCAGAGCAGCTCCCAGTGCACACGTTACTCCTGGTGCTGAGGATTGGCTGCCCGGCCACAGTCCAACGTGTGTGTGTGTGTGTGTGTCAATTTCACTGTGAACTTCAGCACAGACACACACACACACACACAGACAGACAGACCGACAGGGTGCAGCTATGCAACAGGCGAGCAAGAGCCCCCCTCCCCACCCCACACCCCCCCCCCACCCCCTGACATCCAGCCTATCACCATCCATCCCCTCACACAGCTCTCGGTGAATGCATCTAACGCTGGAGGGACCTTGAAGCAAGTGGCGAGGGATTTGCAAAAGGGGGAAGAAGCAAATGGGAAATCATTTACATCTGGTGACAAGCAATTAATGGTTAAAAGAAACTTTTTTCCCCCCCTCTCTCTCCAAAAAAAAGGGGGGAGGGAGTGGCAACTCGTTTGGTCAAACCCCCCATTAGGCGCCTGGAGAAGAGATGACCAGGTTCACAGATAATTTTGAGACACGGGTGGAACTGCTTTTATTTATTTTTCCCCGAAGACGTCCACACACCTTTTCACTGTGTCAAACACCGAACGGGGAAAGTTCTGAAAGTGGCTTCTGTTTTGCACACATCGCCCTGAACGCGAACTGACCCGAGAGCCGCTGGAGATCGCCCGGGAGAGAGGTTCCCGGGGAGAGACCCCCGGGGGTGGGGGGGGGGGGGTGGCACTGGCAGTGCGAGGCTGAGGATTGAAGTCGTGCCTTTTTGAAGGACTTTCTCGCAGTCCCATCGCAGCAGCAATTGGGAAGCCCTCCCGCTCACTGCCCCCACACTCGGGGAATGAAGATCAACGTGCAAGTCAAGTCAAGTCAAGTCAAGTCAAGTCAAGTCAGTCATCGGGTCAGTCTCGCAAAGTTCCTGCAGCCCCCGCCTCGAACTAGGAGAAATATACTGGGGGGGGGGGGGGGGGGGATTTTTTTTAAAAAAATCCAAAAATAAGTGTTGCTCTCACGATATATAAAAGAAACACACGCACATAGCAAGTTGCACTCGAAGCATTAAAGAAGTCGAGAGGCGGTTTTGTTTTAAGCGCCAACACACCCAACGCGCACACACACACACACACACACACAAATACCCCCAAATGTATCACGGGATGGTGTGTGTGAGTGAGTGAGGGCAGGGCAGGGCAGGCAGGGCAGGGCAGGCAGGGCAGGGCAGGCAGGGCAGGGCAGGGCAGGGAGGGCAGGCAGGCAAGGCAAGGCAAGGCAGGGAGGGCAAGGCAGGGAGGGCAAGGCAGGGGAGGGCAGGCAGGGCGGGCAGGACAGGGCAGGGCAGGGCGTGCAGGACAGGCAGGGCAGGGAGGGCAGGGCAGGGCAGGCAGGGCAGGACAGGCCAGGGAGGGCAAGGCAGGGCAGGCAGGGAGGGCAGGGCAGGGAGGGCAGGGCAGGCAGGGCAGGGCAGGACAGGCCAGGGCAGGCAGGGCAGGGAGGGCAGGGCAGGGCAGGCAGGGCAGGACAGGCCAGGGAGGGCAGGGCAGGCAGGGCAGGGCAGGATGAAGGGCGCCTTGCCTTGCTTGGTGCTGGGCTTCCTGGTGTGTGAGTGCGGGGTGTGCTGGGCTCGGGGGGAGTACTGTCACGGTTGGATTGACAGCGCCGGGAAATGGCACGACGGCTTCCAGTGCCCCGAGGACTACGACACGGTGGACGCCACAATCTGCTGCGGCTCCTGCGCTCTCAGGTACTGCTGTGCCGCGGCCGAGGCCAGACTGGACCAGGGGGTCTGCACCAACCACAGAGACCCGCAGACCCCCGACTACTCCGCACGTAAGTCTCAGTCTCAGCCTCTCTGCCCCCGAGGCAAACCCAGGCGTGGGACCAGCCCCCGCGGACCTGCTGGCGGCAGCCCTGCTTTTGCGCTTTTTTCGCATGAGTTCGTTCGTTCGTTCGTTCGTTCGTTGGTTGGTTGGTTCGTTCGTTCGGGGCTAATTTATACTTAAGTTATAGATGTATTTCTATCATAAAGGTGGGTTGAGTTGGGTTTGGGGGGGTTTGGATTGGGGGTTGGGTTGGGTTTGGGGGGGTTGGATTGGGGGTTGGGGGGGTTGGGTTGGGTTTGGGGGGTTGGATTGGGGGGGTTGGATTGGGGGTTGGGGGGGTTGGGTTTGGGGGGGTTGGGTTTGGGGGGGTTGGGTTGGGGGGTTGGGGTTTGGGGGTGGGGGGGGGGGCGACATTACGAAAGGCCATGAAATAATCTGAGATGATCAATTTGTACATATCCCCCGAATAAGATGTGGGGAACGCCCGAGCAGCTCCGTGTTTCTTACACGGAATAAATAGCAGCACATACACATCGGGCAACACCGGGGGAAACCCAAATAGATATTTCCCGAGTCCTTTGCGATTGCGGGTGAAAGTTGCGATGTTTCGGTGATTATCACTTTGAATCCGGTTGCGAAACATTGCAATTTTCGCCCTGCGAAAGAACCCGTCTTACCTGCAGTGTTCAGCAAACACACTGAAACACACCAAGACCCTGAACGAATTCATAAAAAAATGTCTCTGACACTTGAAAATACAGCGTGAAATGTAATATATAGAAATACAATTAATACCTGATATCTTTAATCAATCGCCTGCAAAATACACAGTCAATCCACGTTACAGTATATTTTGTGAAGCGCTTTAAGACGTCCTGCGACTGGTTTATCGTTAAGGTTTGATTCGACATTTAGATTGGACTGAAATATCATTGCTCCTCTTTTTTTTCATGTGCACTCTCTAATCCGCATGTATTGGTATATTGATGTTTATGATGTGCACAGCCTTTAGCTAAGTACAGATCTCCCAGAGGGTATCATCCCAAAAGATATCTCAGCCTAATCATAATATAATAATAATCCTTGCATTTGATACAGCGCCTTGTCAAGTCTTCGAGACGTCTCAAAGCGCTTCATAGGATATACTGTAAAAGTGAACTGACTGTATATGTTGTGGGCGAAATAATTCACTGATGAATTACAAAGTCTTTACAAACTCTCCCTAACAAAAACCCTTGCAGTTTGGTTCATCTGGAACCGGTAGATCATGTATTTTGCTTCTACTGTTACCCAGACCTGCCCTGCACCCCACCCCCCAAAAAAAATTGTGTGTGTGTGTGAGAAATGAAACGTGCAGCGAGCTTCCTGCCGGGAGCAAACGTGAAGCCAGTAATTGGCCAGGTCTCCTCCCGAGTGAGCCAACATCCACTTAACTCAGTGCATACGACAAACCAGTCAAACCGAGCAAATCGTATATCAGAGCAGGGAAATCCAGGGTGACAAGTGCTCACAGAGATTCATGTTCCATCTGCTACACAGTAAACCCACCCTCCACACCATGTGTATATATATATATGTATATAACGTATTATGTGGATTTGGTTCCCCTTCCTTTTTTCTAATAACTTCTATATATATATATATATATATATTAAGATGACTATTTAAAGTTGTGCTTCGCCTCAGTTTGAGTTGCCAGCTCCAAAGTTATTGCACCATCTGCTCTCCAATTGAGATTCTTAACCTAACAGCAAACGAAAAAAAATTTTTGTTATATGTAAATTAGATTAAAAAAAATACAAGTCTGTGGGGGGCGGGAGGGTGGGGGGGGGGGGGGGGGGGTCTCGTGTTCAAATCTCTTAGATTTAAATTACAGCAAAACACAGATAGGTCATCGGAAAGGGGTGGTGTCTCTGTGAGTGGTGAGCAAGCAGGAGATGTGAATCTGAGTGAACCAGATGAGCATGAAATTGCATTAGCCCCGTGTAGAAAAGGGAGAGAAAGGTAAACCAGTGTCTGTGTGACAGCCTCTGTATTGATAATCTTGGAGATGCAGCTTCGGTTTCCATTGCTTTCTCAGCATCAAATAAAACCTCGATCCCCGGGACGTGACCCTGGTGGGATCTCCCGGGTTCTCCGGAGAAGCTTCAGACTTTCTCAACTTTAATATCAGATGCAGAGCATCTATCTCTGCAGGAACTCGGGGTGGGATTAGCGCTGAGGAATGTATACTCACTTAGGAACAGGTTTGAGATGCGTGTCGAATTATTGCTCCGGGAATATGGTAAACACACACACACGAAGTCTTAAGTCCAAAGCAAACATACACGTAGTCGTCTAAGTTCAGCTGCGCACAGTGAGATGCAATGGGACAGTGCAGCGCTATGCGATGTTATATTCGGTAACAGCGACCAAAGTAGCACTCAGTGTGAATCGCACGCATTCCTGTTTTCAGACAGAAGTATTGCAGATAAATATCAGAGGTACTGTGATTGCTTCTGGAATTACATTGCACATTGAACACATTTCGCGCATGTAACAGTGCCGCTGTATTAAATGCAATTAAGCGAAGATTATATTTTGTTTTGTTCGGTTCCGAACATTCAATCAATCAATCAATCAATCAATCAATCAATCAATCAATCAATGCTTTTTTTTCCCTCTATGTAATGCAACAATAATTGAAGAAGATGTTATCAGGGGCAGGGAACGTGGTCAACTATTTCAACTATTTAACTCGTTTGAAACGGTGGTCTGCAAAACGCACCGGTGCCCACACAGGGTTATACTTTGCAGAAGTAATTGGAACCGTTTTCAGGCGAGTTTCGATGTAGTTGGCGAGTGGGAATGGCTCTGCTCTCTCTGCAAAATAACTTGACGTTTTGTTATTTAAGGATCACTTGTACCTTCTTCCACTCCGCGGTTATAATGGTGATAGCGCAATAGAGCATTTGTTTGTGCCTTTCGGCCTCTTTAACACTTGGAAAGGGATTGCACAACAGTTCGATTTTCTGACACTTCGCAATTACCGAATTTTTCTCGAGTGAAGGAATGCAGGAAATGGGTGAAATCCAACTCCCTCCAGTAAACATTCCACTTGCAAACCGATTTGCAGCTTTCGGTAAACGTTTTCAAGCGATTCCTTTCAAAGATTTCGGGTATTTGTTTTTCAAAAAAAAAAGAGTCCATCTGACTCGAGTTACTTGGCTGCAGATTCTCGACTCCAAACGTTTGTAAATAGACTGTGACAGTCGGCAATCGGGCAATTGCAATAATCGATTCAAATGAGTATTTTATTATCGTTAGGTTTTCACATCCATTCGTTGCGATGCGAATGTGCTTGGTTTCACATTTGCATTTTCCAAAGTTTCGCCCAAATTCGTTTGCAACCGCCGTCGTCTGTCGTTCAGACGCCGTTTCCATTTAACTGAGGTTAATTATATTATTTCGCTTCAATTTTTTTTAATTCTAATTTCTAACTCCGATCAGCTCCATTCGTTCAGCGTCCCTCAATAAAACACCCGTGTGGGTCTGCTGCAAGCACACCGGTTACTGGAAGGGGGGACATTTACAAAGTAAAGTGCAAAATCGGCTATTGATAACCCATCTTTTTTCTTGAAAAAAAGATCAGTAAATATAAGTTTAGTTCACGAGCAAAGTGCTTTGCAGTGATTGACAACGATCGTTCGGTGTAGGGCAGTGTCACTGCTATTGATTGACTTCCTTGACGCCTCGTGTTTATGATGTTGTTTTGTGCAATCCCTGTGGCCCGGAGTTTGTTCTCACTCGTAACCGTGTATATATAGACCGTATTTTAGTCGTCCTGTATGCAATCACACGTGTAAATAAATACAAACGCTACGTGTGTAGTTGCCTGAGATGTTTGCTCAGATCTTTTTATGCACTGGCGACAGGACTCTCTCTGCCCTCACAACTCGTGCTCTCTATCTAACACTGTAGCCTTCACAAGTCGTCTCATATTTCAGCCCATGAGATGGACATCAGAAACGAAGGGGAGGGGACAGTTTCCTCCCCTCAATCATGTCCCCCGATCGATCGACGTTTAAACGATGTGGGGCCAGGCTTTCATGAGCAAATGAAGAAAGCACGAAGCGGCGGATCCTGCACAAGGCTGATAGCTTCTCGTTTTAAATGGTTGGTTGGAAAGTGCAGCAAAAGCAAAGTAGCTGCAGAGAGAGCAGACTTGTCAACACGCCTGAATGGTTTTCCAAGCCCGTGGACAGCCTGATACAGGGAGCAGACGTGAGCGTGTATTTGCATTGGTGGTGGAGGCTAGAAAAATATTGGATAAGCGTTTAAAGTTCATCTGCTCTCTGCACGACAGGCGTTGAGCGCTGCTGATTAACCAGGTCACTGCATAGAGGACATTTAACTGACACTTGGCTGATCTACACTTCGTATCACGGTGTTGTAGTTTACCCTCTTTCCCCATAGGCAGTTTTGCATCGCAAATAATCCTTCTAAATTCTATAAGATGCCACTTCTGGCATCGCGTTTCATCGCATAGATAATAATAATAATAATAATCCTTGCATTTGATATAGCGCTTTTCACGTCGGGAGGACGTCCCAAAGCGCTTCACGGAACGCACTGTAAAGTGAATTGACTGTATATTTGTGGGCGAACGCGGCAGCCAATTGCGCACAGCAATGTCCTACAAACAGTCATGGATTGAAAATGACCAATTTATTATTGTTTTTGGTTTTGGAGGGATTATTATTAGGCTCTGTGTGGAGTAAGGAAACTTGCCCAAGGTTTCGCCCTCTGCCTGGAATTGAACTCAGGTCTCTCACTTGCAAAGCGAGTGCTCTAACCACTGAGCTACAGGACTCCTATAGATAGAAGAACAAAGTGTGAATATTTGTGAACCATTGCAATGCTAAAAGCTAAACGCTGTGTGTTTAATAAAGCAAGAACCAAAGACTTTTCCCCTACAAACCACACCATCACTACACTTTACAGTAATTCACGTCAAGCGCTTTGAGACGTCCTCCTGACGAGAAAGGCGCTATTATCAAATGGAAGGATTATTTATCGGCAATGAGAAATTCCAAAGTTTTTTTTTAAATTAGGAGTTTATTCACGTGATAAGGCGCTATATCAAATGCAAATATTATTATAATTCTCATTTGTTATAATTCACGTGCCACGTTGTCATTTCTGCAATTAATATGCGCAAAATTGTAATCAGAAGGCGATGTTGGCAGTGAGTTGAGAAATGGAGGGGTTGGGCATTGAAGAGTAAGAGACATTAATCCCCAGGTATAGCAACACTTTGCAGGTCATGCGTAAAAGGAAGCGTCCACGGATTACTCACAACAAGTGATATGGCAATGTGCTGCATTATTATTACTGTTAAAAAAAAGTATCTTGAAAACATAATCGAGATAGTTTAATATCTGTGCATGGTCGCCCTGAAATGAGGGTCTGCTATTGCTCTCTGTCTCTCTCTCTGTGCTAATGCCTTAATGTGCTGTTCTCCACAGAGCCCATCTATGTCCCGTTCCTGGTTGTTGGCTCCATATTCGTGGCGTTTATCATTCTGGGCTCTCTGGTGGCTGTTTATTGCTGTACGTGTCTCAGGCCCAAGCAGCCAAACCCGCAGCCGATGCGGTTCTCAATGCGAAACCACCAAACCGAGACTATTCCCATGATCCCGACGTTTACAAACATAAGGACCCCATCCAGGCAGTCCAGCACCGCCACCAGCTCCAGCTCCACCGGGGGCTCTCTCCACAGGTTCTCCATGGGCAGGGCTGAGCCAGGGCACAGCTGTCTGGTCCCCTCGCCCCCCCCGGCTTACAGCTCCCCCCTGCAACCAGGACAAGCCCTGCATCTCAGTCAGAGCCAGGGCTTCCTGCTGCCACAGCAGTACTTCACCTACACTCTCCAACCAGAACCCTACCCCACGTTCAACGATTTCAGCCACAACCGACTGCAGCCCCAGAACACAGCGGCGCCCAACTCGGAACAAGTCACATACAGCAACGCGGGGCTATAGGAGAGCTTGTGGGGCAGTTTGCTGTGTGAGTAACCCACTGCCCACCGTGTTACAGTATTGGGAAGTCTTTGGAGGTGGGCTACTGTTTTGCATTCTCATGTGGATGGATGTCACCCCTTTCTGGACTAAAAATGACTCTTGCTAACCAACAGGGAGGACCTTCATTCTCTACCCTAAGTCTTCCAGAAAGCCTCCAGCTTCACATCAGCCGGATGTGTAAGGAGGAGCGTGGTTTGCTGGTTTGCTGTTGGACTCGTTGCTCCCCAGCTATAGGTTCTGCTCCTCATGGCTCTGAAAGCAAACTATCCACTCAAAATCTGGAGCCTTTTAAAATTCTACACTTTCACGTGCTTTTATCATAGTTAACTGTGATATTAACTGCATAGTTAGAAGTGTAACTTACAATTTACAATCCTTGTTAAAATTGTTAAGAATAATATGGAGGCCAAACTATTACAATACAGTATTAGCAATCGCACTGAAGTCATATGTTTGACTGATACCCGTTTGGTTAGATCAAATTGGATGTGTGGTCTGAGGCAATGTATTACCTGTTTAGTCTGTTAATCAGGTGAACTCACTTTCCTGACTGGGTCTACAGAGTGAATTAAGGACTGTTTGCTTCAGGAAACTTTGCAAAATGTCAAATGTAACCGTTTTTTTGAGTGGGGGGAGGGGGTGGTAAACATGGTAAACAGTTGCAGTTTAACCTGAGATGCAAACGTTTCTACACAAATTCACCAAGTTTAAGGAGGTAAGAAAAAATCTCCAAGTTTCACGTCCCTGTATTTGACGTATTATTGGAGTTCAAGCAATAACCATTTGTGGTAGAATAACAGGCGGTAAACAGAACTTTTATAAGGCGACAAATTTTAAGAACGAGGATAGNTTTTTTTCGCTTGTTCATATATTTTCATAACATTTTGTTTTTGACTGAATGCCTTACTTATCTAAATATTGAAAATTAAAGTTATGAAATAATTTATAGAGGAAACATCTAAAGTCGATTATTCTTAATTCCGACCTTCTCCCGTATATTTACAATACACTTAAATTACTAATTGTTCTAGTAATCATTTTGTTGTTTGAATTATATGATTGGTTGAACTAAACAAATGTATGGTGGAAATGAATATTGCATAGGAATATTTTATAAAGTGTCCATTCTGAAAATATGAATGTTAACTTAAAGATCTGAAATTAAAGATGTTTAATAAAACATCCTGACAAATTTAGGATTGCAAAATGACATACATTCATGTGCAGATTTTTTTCCCAGCGTCTTTTTTGTGTTCAGTTTTATTTTACTTTATCCTAAGAGAAAACTAGATGTGCCGATTCTTGTTTGAGTAAGCTTGGGCGGGCTTCGCTGTAACTGGACTCTACAATGAAATAAATAATGCCTCTTCTCTGTGAATCGAGACACCTCGACCACCCAAACAGGTGATCTTCTCACTTGTGGGATCATGGCTTTGGAGTCACTTCAATTTGCTCACTCCCCTCGGCTCGATCATCTACCAAAGGCGTCTGACCAGAACACAAAACAAAACCCAGACCTTGGAGAAAGGAAAGTTATTTACCATGATAACTCATCCAAATAGGATCCGACACACACATCTCAATAAATGCAACTCAACGAGTCTCATTTGGTTACTGTGGTAAGTTGTTTATTTGCCTTTACACAGGCTCCAGCATCAGCTTGCAATAAAAGTAGAATGTCGAACCTTTTCATGGTTAGCACAAGGAGCATTATAACCCGCAATGGCAATGATCAACGTTTCTACTGGTTCCTATAATGTGTGGCACTCAGTCATATTGGACAAACCTGCCTGTATTATCAATCCTTTATCATGGCTTCCACAAGGGCATTGTATTTTGGTAGTTTAAGTAATTCTGATTACTTTTACCAATGCATGATTATTTTTCCTCTCAGATTTAGATTTTGCTACTTTATCTAAAGATAGCAGCTAGGTGAAATAGCTTGCTCTGGAAGACAGTGTAAGCAGACCCTGTTAACAATTTTAATTAAGATCTGTTGATATCAGTGGCATTGGGAGGTAGAGAGCAACGGTATTTAGCCAAATGGGAACTGTTTAACAATGTTGTTCATTAGGTTGAAGATTAAACTTGAGACTTGAAATTTGTTTTTTTCAATTTCCATCCTATTAAGATCAATAAAATGATCAGCAGGATGTCACAAAATCACATCAAATGTTTGGATGAAGAAGGCCTTTGGGTCTATCTGACCACATTCTTCTAGAATACCCACCTTATTGTCCTTCCATAACAGCGTCAAGCTGTTTCTTGAATCCTGCATCCTGGCCTCAACACCCTTCCTCGTAACCCAGTGGTGGCCAACTCATGGCTCCTAGGGCTGTTAAGAGGTAGCTCGCTGAAATTGTGCATTTCTCTGGGTAAGTCCATGCATAAGTCCATGATTTATGGCATAAATCAATCAATTTATTTTGTTGGACGACGAAAAGGTTGGCTACCACAGTTGTAACCTGTTCCAGTCATTAATGGGTGGGTGGTGGTGGGTGGGATTGGGGAAGGGAAGGACTAAAAAGGATCTGTTTNAAAAAAACTGAGCAAGGCCCACACTGGAACACACTGTATGAAGTATTGTGAAATTGGAATGCAGCGTCTTGTCTGCGATTAGCTCTTTGTGTTTTGAGTGCGATAATAATAATCCTTTCACTTGATATAGCAAGTTATCACATCTTCAAGAATATACTCTAAATTATATCCTTCCTCCCCCATATCCGGTCCCTAACCAGGACCGCTTTGCTCCACCTCCACCACTTTGCCCGTCTCCGACAATATCTCACTCCACATGCTGCCAAAACCCTTGTCCACGCCTTCGTCACCTCTCGGCTGTACTACTCAAACGCCTTGGCACCCCCCTATCTCTCTTACCTCCTCTCTCCTCACAGCACTACTCGCTGCCTCCACTCTACTGGTTCCAGCCTCATCCTTATCCCTCGAATCCTCCGCTCCATGATCGGCAGCCATGCCTTCAGCCACTTTGCCCCGAACCTATGGATCTCCCTCCCTCAATCTCTTCGTCTTGCCTACACTTTCCCCATTTTCAGGATGTACCTGAAGACCTTCCTCTTTGACTGTGCCTATGGTCACCTTCCCCCTGGCTCAGCATCGGGCTCCACCATTGTTAAGCACTCTGGGACGCCGCCCAAAGTGGAGGGCACTATATAAGTGCAAGTCGTTGTTAAAGTGAATTGACTGTATATTTTGTGGGCAAAATGCGACAGACAATGGCGCACAGCAGTGTCCCACAAACAGTCGTGGATTGAGTGACCAAATTTTTTTTTAAGTGATTATTATCCCCAGAAAAGTGATCTGCCAATCAACTAACAACCGGGTTTCTACTTACTGCAAGGTAAACAGAGGAGTGTGGAGTAACATTTCGCCCTGCTGGGAATCAAACCCAGGTCTCTCGCTTGCGAGGTGAGTGCTCTCACCACAGAGCTACAGTACTCCAAGTGTTAATTGTTTACTGCAAAGGAACAGCAGCACTCTGAGACTTGACCCCACATGAAGGGCACTATATAAATACAAGTTGTTGTTGAATGATAATAATCTTTGCATTTGATATAGTACCTTTATCACATTGTCAATATATCTCCAAGAACTTCACAGGATCTTACTGTGAAGTGTAGTGACTGTAATTTATTGGCAAATGTTCTGATGAACAATAACTGCACAGATACGAAGAATCTAAAAATAAAGATCTTCACATTCTGACTAATCCTAACATTCATGACTTATGATGATTCTCAAAACACTTTTTGACTTGCAATCAATTTGAGGTAAAATATTGAAGACATATATCCATTGTAAAGCTGTCAGACTGACTCAGTGGCTTTGGATTTTGTCTGGGTTTGAAAGTTCACTACTTGCTAGAGTGTTATTTTTGCTTTTCCTGACAAAAATAATCGTTTTAAGAATGAGGCTGATTATTTATGACAAGCATATTTCACGTCCAAAATTAAATTGGCTCTCAGTACTACACATTGTGATTCTGCAGTGACTGATTGTACAAAGCAATTCCGAGCAGTGGGGGAGGTGTTTTTACACCCTGTGCATTATACACTCAACAAACACAGATCATGTTAGCTTTAAAAATGTGGCAATAGGATCAACAACTGCCATAAAACAACATTTTATAAAGCAAATGACTGATTTGCACTTTTCTCTAATATAGTTTTGAATTTATAATTCTTAATACCTCCTAGAAAATAAGGTTCAACATTTATTACAAACAATCAACTCTTCTGTAATAGGCTACCTTTATAGGTCTATTGAAGTAACTTGGCAACTTTAATATAGGTTGATTTAAGAACATATTAAGAACAGGTTAGCAACCTGGGAAAAAATATTGTGGTCTAACTTACGTCTCTGAACAGATTTCTTAGCAAAGAATCATGCCAACTGTTGAAATGGAATCTACTTCCAGAGCGGAGTTCTTGTGGGTCAACACAAATTCTAAGAAATACCACAGATTGGATTCCATTAAGATTCAAGGACTTATTTATTAGTAGCTTTAGTGATTTCCACCATTGAACTGGGATATTCCTCAACTCAGTTCTTAATTAGTTTGGCTTAGTAAGTTGTCCTCTTGCATCTGGGTCAGAAGGTTAGGAGGTGCATTGACAATCTTATTGTATATCTCATCCATTCCATTATACAGACAATTCCTACTTCAAATATACAATGCACATTTGCACAAATCCACCTGATGAAAGTTTCTTGTATAATGAAACTTCCTAATAGTTCTTTGTTTTATTTGAGCAGGCATTGGTTGACATTTCACCCATGAGAAATCTTAGCAGAGGAAAGTAAGCAATTTTCACATGAATTTGTGGGAAAAATAACACAGAGGAGGATATGACTGATTTATGATGAAGTGCCTTGAAGATTTGTAGCAAGACAGTCCCAAAACATTGTTCCTCTTCTGTGGCAAGACATCTGGATCTATCAGCGCAAAAATAAACTGCAACTGCAAAAACTTCACCGGAGACACATAACTGATGAAGTTAGAAGTCACAACTGATTTTACAGAAGCAGAAGTATAATAATAATACTTGCATTTGATATATGATCAAAACACTTCACAAGTAATTGCTGTCAAGAGCAGTGACTATGGATTTGTAGGCAAATGCAAGAATCCATTTGTACACGACAATGGTCCACACGCAATCAACAAATGAAAAACTAATTTAACTGAAAGATTGTTGGCCAGGACACCAGGAGAAATTCCCTTTGGTTTTTAAATTCAAGTTTGATGATAGCTTTGACACTTCCAGATTAAACATCTCCAATGCCCTTGTTGCTGGCATCTCCAGCTGGAGATGATTCAGAACTCTGCAGATCGTAACATCACCCACACTATGATTGGCAATGTCATCAACTTCACTCTTACCTGGCTCCTTATCCCCCAGAGGATTAATTTGAAAATCCTAAATTCCGCAGCTTTGCTCAATTGTACCTGCGTAATCACCTGCTACACCAATCCCCTGGCCACTCCTGCTAATATTTTCTGCCAAGTTTGGACTGCTTCATGCCTCCTGCCCCTCTGTCCCAGTCTCCACCAATCTCTTCTGACATCCTGCCAGCCCTTTATTGGAGCAAAGAAAATTGACGGGATCTGATCTAGATATTTAGGATGATTAAAGCAACGATTATGTAGATGTTGAGGTTATTTAGTACAAAGCCTGATTGCAGAACTGGAAAATGAGCACTAAATTTATAAGCCTTAAGCAAAACTAAAGATTCAAAAAAATCCTCTCCTCTTGGCCACACATTAGATATATACACCGGATGCTAATTGAAAGCAGCTAATGCTGTGGTGATGAGCTCTTTTAGATGTATAAACCCTTAGGAAGGCATAGTGTCTGATTAAGAATGGATTGAAGTTGATGAGTAAGTCTGGGCATAATAATTGAATACTTCACGGATCATGAAAATGTCCTCGTGGAATGTCACTGGTCAGGGTTGAATAAAGTAGATTATGGTTATGTAGCCTCATTATATTACATTATGACATGCAGAAACTTCAATTCTTATTGTCTGCTTGGAAGTTTTATCTGTGATTATTTATAGAAATGAGTCTTTCAGACATTGATTTCTGTTAAAAAAAAGCTTTTGTTACTTGTTTATTATATTCCAGTCTGAACAATTCATGAAAATTTGGCGAAAGATAAGACAGTGGACTCAAATCAGAGAAATACTAAGTCATCAGAGTGTTAGCTAAGATTGTTCAGCATAGATTGAGGCAAGTGAGTATTGTGATGGTGAATAGATCACCAGATCACAATTACCTGTGATGCAGTTTAAAATCACCCCAGCACTCGCCAGTAGATCTGGCGTCTCTCAGCAGATCGATTTCAAGCTCAACCTCACCTATAAATCCATCCACTCCTTGGCACCTCCACTAACTCCTCTTTGATCCACTACCTTAATCTGTGTGCCTTCTTCTTAGCTAACACGGCCTTGTTGTGCATCTCGCGGCTGCTACGTGTTGCCATTGATGTCTGAGCCTTCAGTTCTTAGACTCCTAACCTCTGGAACTCCCTCCCTCTATTGCTCCATCCATCCTCTCGCTTTCTACTTCTTCGAACGCGCCTTCAACACCTTCAACCTTCAACACATTCAAGCCTGATCTGAACCTCACCCAACAGCCGCACGTCACCCTGGGTCACTGACTAACTGTGAGGTGTGCAAATCCTGGCTACATTTTTATACCTCAAGGCTCAGGGTGTTGATGCCAATTGTAATATTCTGCTGTTGCCCTAGCTGAGATCAGCTAACTCAGCAATTAATGTGGCATGTTAAACGTGTGCAAACATATGTATTGAGCGTCATATGAAAATGCATTTGTACAGAGGAATTAAAAGTGTCTGTCTATCACTAATGAAATTAACATGAACAACAACTTGCATTGATATAGCAGGGTAGCACTTCAGAAGCTGTCCTTATTTATTATTCCACCACCAATATATTCATATGGAGACTTACTCATCTAGGGGAAACAATAATTAAAGTAAATTTAAATCTGTTCATTCTTCTAATAATGCTTCACATCTCTCACCTTTTAGACGTAAGCTTTGTGGTGAGCAGTAACTACATTCTGGAGTACCAAAGAGTTTGAGAGATTTCAGTGCATCCTTACATGATAATTAATAATACTCCTCACATTTGATATAGCAACCTTGGTGTCAGGAGGACACCTCAAAGTGCTTTTAATGTAAAGTGTAGTGAGGCGAATGGGGCAGCCAATTTGCGCATAGCAATGTTCCTCAAACTGCCATGATGAGAATGACCCAATTTTTTTCTTGCGGATTGTTGGCTAAGACACTGGGAGATCTCTTTTCTTTTTGAATTGTGGCATGGGATCTTTAATGTCTATCTCAACAGACATGACCTCGATTTAACATCTCATTGTAAGGAAATCATCTCCAACAACACAGCACTCCCCCAGCACTTCAATGGAGTACCAGGTTAGATCAGCTAACTCAGCAAATAATGTGGCATGTTATTATGTAAGCAAGGGACACAACCCAACACTGAAAGCAGAAGGAGTTAGGTTTAGAATAAACAAACATAAACTAAAGATTGAAAAAAAAATTCTCATAATGCTGGATATGTGGAAGAGATTCCCAACAAAATCAGATGACATTCTGTTGAATTAACACCTTCAAATAAAATAAAGTATCCATATCTGCATGATAAGATTTAGATGTAGACTGAGATAAACTGATACTCTGTGGGACACAAACGTTGCTGTGCTCCTGGGGTCAGGGATCGGAAGGGAAAACGATCTGTGGAGGGGGAAGGAGACAAGGGTTCAATAGTGGAGATGGATCAATTTTCTGAATTTTATGCTGCCTTACCATTGGGATTCAGGGTATATCTACTTTCCTTCAGGAAATAGAGTTGAAGGGGTAAAGTTCATGGTAGGTTTTGCATGGTTTTGGAAGGAGTGGGCTTGATGGAAAAAAAATGCCCTTTCACATTCTATGTTTGCTTATTTGCTTAAATGTGGCAATTGCTATCTCATTGCAGCAGGTTCTTCCTTAGGTGAAAGTGTGAGAATGTTCAGGTTACTTATCTTTGACCCTCCTATAGGAGTCAAACCTAAGAGTGTAAAGCGAATGAAGCAATGAACTGTTGTAGCCTCCGGGTGTACAGTAATATCACTTTAATCTTTGTGATCTTTCTTTCAGTTTGGCTTCTTAAAATGGTTGCACTTTTTCTGAGGTAAAGCATGAATACATGAAAATGCAAGGTTTGCAAATTTCATTTTATTTATTATCGGTATGACAATCAAAAGACAGAACAGTTAAGAGATGCAACTGCCACCATGCAAATTCACAATAGAGTCAATGGTAAGTAACAGAGAATACAAAATTACACAGCACTGATAATTTACAACCAAATATAAAACACAGTGCATTTCCTTACTTTAAGTTAAAACCAAACCTGAGAAATACAATGAACATTGAATGTCACCATTCATGCAGTGCAAAACAAATCAGGGAAATTTAGTCAACGTTTTTGAAGTCCGGCAGAAAAATCCTGACCAAATGTCCAGAACATGCTTCGTCTTTACACGAGAACGTTCAGGCCAAATTTCACCATTAAGTTGAATTGAATTTAAATACTGTACTCTACAGCAGTGGCAACAGTAGAAAGTAACCATTTACTTCGTACCAATGAAGTAAACTGCATTACAACTCTCCATTTCCACTCTGTTGTCACTTCAAACAAACTAATCTGGACAAAGCTATCCAGTGTTACTTTGATTTATTATTTTAAAGTACAGTCGTGTTCAATTAGTTTAAAACGTATCGCATGTATTTGCACACATCTTGAATGCAATTCTTACTGGGTGGTGTGTCAGGACTAAAGGACACATTCCATAGCCTATTCAGATACAATCTTCCACAGAACAGAATGGATAACAATTGAACAAATCCCACGTGGATTTCCACTCCCACTCCCCACAAAACCAATGCTTACTCCAATTAGAATTAAAATTTATATAGAAAATATAAAACTACAAGTGAGTTGCACAGACAAGTTCATTCTTTTTAAGATGAAGGACATGTACAACAACTGACCAGGAAGCACACAAAAATACATTATGCACCGACAACTGCAGCACTGCTTTACCTTTCATTAACAGAGATCATTTCTCACTAAACCGTGCGCAAAATTGTGCAGCAAGATCAGGAGTCATGCACAAGCAAGGTACATGTAACACTTAACTTCATGCAGACAGACAAAATGGCAAACAGGTTAAACAAACACACTACAGTACATCTCCCATGGGGAGAGAAAGACAACAGCTACAACTGCTAAAAGAAACAGAAATTACAGGCTTTGACACTATCACCCTTCTGCCATCCATCGGAGGATTCCTTAACAAAAAAACACAGTGAAGTGTGGTATGAACAGTGAAGAGTACGTAAAGGGGCAGCAAATGGCAAAACAGACAACAGCAATCGGATCCTATTTTCAAAGTCTTGTGAGTTGCTTTTAATTTGCGCTTGTTTTTGCTATTGAAGTACAAATAGTGGTAATCTCTTGATAAGGAATCAGTACTGCACAAATAGGGACTCCCTTCAGGTCAACCCCAGTAAACACCAATCCAATGAGATCTAGGTTGGCAGGGAATTTGAACAGATTCCTTATTTGAGAATCCTCTGAAGAAACACTGCAAATCAGGCTCGGTCCTTGTCATTACATTCATGCTTGAATGATAATCTGCAATGTGTCTCTTGCAAATTTGTAGAAATCGAGTTTGTAAAGTTGCTAAATGACATTTTGGGCTATAACAACTCGACCTATGCTGTAATTTGGAATTTAGTCCCGGAATATATTCCATAACAATACTAAACAATCTGAGTGGAGAGGATACTATTTTTCTGTTTCATTGTTTATTCCTTTCCATATTTCAATTTTCTTGTGACGATCTTTTAAAAAAAACTAAATCCAATAATATGCAAATCCAGCTGTTCTGTGCAAGACTGTCATTGAAACAGCTGGAATGTTAAATACCTCTTCACCTCTTGCATGGAGTTTGTTTAATATCTTCAATCAATAAAATATCTGCTTGGAATGGAATGCTTAAAAAGGCTTTCAGAATACAGTATATTTTGCTACAAAATCAGCAACCTTAACATTTCGCTACCAAAGCAGCAAAATAGAGTACCGATGTTTGAGAATAACTTTTAAGGAATACTTATTAACAAAGTTGAGGTTCTTACATACAGGCACATCATACGAATGTTGTCAGGTCTGCAACACCTGTGATGATAAAATAAAATGGTTCATGTAATACAGGCACGGTAACTTTCATTAAACCTGAACCTAGGAAGGAAGCTGCTGACGTTATAACAACAATGGATGCTTAGCAATACCATGATGCCAGAGTCCATATCATTATTCAGCAGCATTGCCAATGAAGCATGAGGTGAGACTTGTCAATATTTATTTTCTTGTAGATTAACTTTTGAATTGGTAGGAACTCGAGAAATAAAACACACCCTAGTTGTACCCTCAATATCTAAAGAAGAGTTAAAAAGTGTTATAAATCTGGTCTGTCAACATCTGTTTCAAAAATAATCAAACACAAGTTGATAAGCATCATAACAGGATCTAGCCAACAACAAAATAACCAGAGAAAGCTAATGATATGGGGAAGAAATACTTTCTGGCTTTTTTAAAAAATAAGACATACTTGACTATTTCAGGTCTAGTTAAAAAAAAGTCAATTTGTACTCTTTTTAAGGAAAGAATGCTTGATACAGAGAGCACTGCCACCATTAAATGTTCCTTCTCCTTTAACTGACATGCTCGCCAGGGCTCAGCATTAGCTAGTTCGGAATTAAGGGCAATTGAAGAAACATGTTAATCCATCAAAATCTAATTAAAAAGTCATTCACTCCAGATAGCACCAGCTTAAAAAAAGTAGAACTTGTAGCCAGGCACATACACGTCACTGTTTCACTTGGAAAACTAATTTGAACATTAAGAAATGACAAAAGCATATCTAAGGCCATAGTTTGAGAAAGTCAAAAATTCAGAAGCAAGTGCCAAGAAGGCAGTTGTCACATCTTTCGTATACCACTGTATGTGGAAATTATACTCCACAAAAGTCTGCAGCAGGACTTGAAGTTTGCTCTGCTCTTATCTCCAAAAACAGGAGAAAAGTGCTGATTGGAAATTTCTAATCTACTATGATTTCATTGTCCGAGGCGTGGTGACGAAAGCTCATGCTATCCATGCTTAATCCTCTATTATGAGAGCACAGTTTAGAATTTGGATGGTTCTCTATTTATTTTGTACTTTTCTCCCAGTGAATTATGTGTAAGCGATGCTTCAGGACTCTTGTTGGACACATTAACACAGAGCAATCTTGAAAACACGGAAACATTATTTCACAGCAACAGAGTAAATCTTTCCCCCATAATGGTACTAAATGAGGCATCCACAAGGTTTATAGTATTTTTGTTAAAAGAATAAAATGTACCAAAATTTCGACTGAAGTAATAGTGGCAACATTTAAATCTTTCAGGAAACACAGTGGAAAAGCCTGTCAAACACACACATGGGAGGGTTGGTTTGGTGCATGTTGCTGTGAACTAACAACTGGTAACCAGCAGGGGAAAGGTTTAGATGCTGAGTGTATCCTAACACACGCACACACCAGAAAGACATTAAATAGTGTAAAGCCCATCCGTCACCTGGAATTTATGAACTTCTACTTGTTTTTTTTAAGAAAAAAAATAGCTTTTTAAATTGTCTCAAGGGCCTAGTCTGTCACGGATACAACAGCAAACTTCAAGCCCTGACCAGCAAGTTGTAAATGAGTTCTGTGTTAGAATTCTAACAGTGAGTTTTGATAAAACATATTTGCACAGTGTTTGCGTCCTTTTAATAGGTAGCAATGGTGATCAGTACTTTCTTCCCCTTCGTAAGATATGTAAAGACCCATCAGTCCAAGTCTTTACACTGACGGTATTTTGTTTGTTCAGAAAACACACCCTTTTAAGTCTGACATCCATCTGAAATATTTATTTGCAAATGATTTCATTCCCCAGTATTAACTGTTCACCAGGTGTTGGATCCTTGTTTGGTGGTATCATAGGCCCTTATCACTTGAGACTGGGACACAATACCATGTTCATCTTGGGAGAAAGCATAGCCATCTGTAAAATAAAATACATAAATAGGCACATAGGAAGCGCTAGACAAAAAAGACCAAGGTCTATCTGATCCGCCTTCTATCATCCTGGTAGTTTTGTGATACAATAATGAACATGTTGATAGCAATTAATTCTGTATGGATTAGAATATCATCACATTGGAAAGTTCTCCCAAGCATCCTGCCCTTGTCATGTGTCAAATTACTCATATACTGTATAATGAATAAACAAACAGGATAACATTTATATCAGAAATTATTGTCACCTTAGTTCACAGTACATTTATACAGTGCATTACTTTATCCCTGCTATACTATCTGTTAAAGACACTTCCAATAGGTAGCAACCCGGCAAGTGATCTGCCACAAAGGATTAAGGTTCATCAAGCGGCAAATGGGTTACAGTCGGAGACCCCTCTGTTGTGATTGTCTCTCTGTGTGTCTCTATTTGAGCGTGTCTATGTCTCTTCTATATGTGAGTATGTTTATGAGTGTCTCGTGTGAGTGTGTGCCTCTCTGTCTGTGTGTGTATGTCTCTTTGTGTCTATGACAATGTGTGCGTGTCTCTCTCTCTCTGAGAATGTGTCTCTCTGTGTCCGTGTCTCTTTCTGTGTCTCTGAGTGTGTGTTTGTCTCTGTCTGTGAATGTGTGTGTGTGTCTGTGAGTGTGTGTCTCTCTTGTGTCTGTGAGTGTATGTCTCTCTCTGTGGCTCTGAGTGCGTCACTCTCTCTCTCTCTCTCTCTCTCTCTCTGAGAATGTTGTCTCTCTCTCTCTCTCTGTGTCTCTGAGTGTGCGTGTGTCCCTTTCTCTGTCTGTGAGTGCGTGTGTGTCTCTCTGTGTCTGAGTGTGCGTGTCTCTGTGTCTGAGTGTGCGTGTCTCTGTGTCTGAGTGTGTGTGTCTCTGTGTGTCCATGAGTGTATGTCTCTCTGTCACTGAATGTGTGTGTCTCTCTCTGTGTCTGTGAGTGTGTGTGTCTCTATCTGTCTGTGAGTGTGTGTGTGTCTCTGTGTGTCTGTGAGTATGTGTGTGTCTCTCTGTCTGTGTCTCTCTCTGTTTCTGAGTATGTGTGTGTTTCTGTCTGAGTGTGTGTGTCTCTTTCTGTATATGTGAGTGTATGTGTCTCTCTGTGTATGTGAGTGTCTCTATGTCTCTGGGTGTGTGTATCTCTCTGTGCATGTGAGTCTCTCTATGTCTCTGGGTGTGTATGTCTCTCTGTGCATGTGTGTCTCTGTGTCTCTCTCTCTCTGAGAATGTCTATCTCTGTGGCTGTGAGTGTGTGTCTCTCTCTGTGTCTCTGAGTGTGTGTATCTATGTCTCCGAGTGCATCTCTCTCTCTCTCTGGGACTCTGTGTGTATGTCTCTCTGTGTCTCTGAGTGTGTGTGTGTCTCTCTCTCTGTCTGCCATGTGTGTCTCTCTCTCTGGATTTCTGTGCCTGTGTGCGGTGCCGGCCCTGAGAGGCAGGAGATGGTGAGCTCCTGTAGCCTCGCCGGTGGTCACAGCCTCCCCTGCACCCACCCCCCAAAAAAATGGCTACCTATTTATTTGTTAAAGAAGCAATTAATAATTTTTTTTGCAACAATCTAATATGTTAGTTTTTATCAATGAAGTGAAAAGTGTAGCAGTAAAATGTACCTCAATAGCACCAAACAGGCAATTTCCCCACAAAAATGAGCAAAGAGCCCCCCACTCTCCCGCCCCAATTTCCCCCAAAGATTTGTAAAACATGCCGTAATTTGTTTTTGCAAAAATGTCCACACTTCTCTATTGGCCCAGCTGATGACTAACATTTTTGCATTGCCATTTGTGGGCATGAAAGTCTGTCTGTATGAACTCAAATTTGGCTCAAAGGAATCAAGATAAAATAAAACTCTTCAAAAAGAAAATTGCAAAAACCACAATACACAGGACTAGGACATTAACAGGGTGAGAGAATACAAAGAGCAGGAAAGGCTGGACAGATAAGAGCATTTTACTCTGGAGAAGAGATGATTGAGAGGAGACCTGACTGAAGTGTTTAAAATTATGAAAGAGATTGGGTAAGGCAAACATAAATAGACTGTATCCACTTGTTGGTAAGTTGATAACAAGGAGTCATAAATATAAGATAACCTCTAACAGATCTAAAATAATTTAGGAGGTACTTCATTACACAGTGTAATGAAGTAACTCCTAATGTGTAACTCACTGTAGTTGTAGCAAAGAGAGAGAATGAGAAATAGAGGGAGAGGAATAGATAGGTGAGGGGGAGGCTATGGAGGTGACTAGTTGGGCCGATCAGCCTGTTTCAGTGCTGTTGCTGTTGTACATAATTCTATGCGTGTAATTAAATTGGGCTATTCACAGATCTAAAGAATCAGAACCAGTTACAAAGCTTCTAGATATTTTTGTGTAGAGTACTCAAGACAAAACACTCACGTGGTGAACTATGTTGAATACGTCCTGCAGCGTACAAGTTGGTTATGCTCCTCTTAAATACGTTCTTTAAGAGTTGAGCTCGCTCGCTTAACCTGTTCAGGAGAGAAGGGGAAAATATTATTTTTTGGTTGATCGAATAAAACAGGTGAGTATCTGTAAAATAAATTAAGTGTAATAAGCATCATATTAGTTGCTGCTTGACTGTGCAATCTTACACACTGACACCTTTTTTTAAACAAATCCATCTCATTATCTCTAATTTACAGATGTGGATTTGTTAGCTCTTCAATAATAAGCTACAATTCAGCACCTCAATTTCTTTACAACTATTAAAGCTCAGCTAGTATAAATACCATATTTAATTTCTTAAGATTGTCCTAAACTGTCCTATTATAACAGAATACAGAACAGAATTGTTCAAATGACATTCCTCGTAAGTGTATTACCTGGATAAATGTATGAAAAATTATGGAAAATCACTTGTACATTTAAACACCGTGTTACATTACACCTCCCTTGGGCTGCTGACATTAAATATGCTAAGCTCTCATTTCAACCTTTGAATGTTCTGCAAAAAATCGTGTTCACTTACAATTTCAGGGTTACAGCTCAGCTTTGGTTAAAGCACAGATTACAATAATTCTCAATTCCTACAGATTTCATGCTCCTCAGGAGTAGAGAATGGAGCGATTTTTCCATCTGAAGCAATCACAGTGCTAAGTCGCTATGGCACAGGGTGATGGCAACATTGGCAATGCAATCTATAACCCGGTCCTGAAGACTGGGATATAGATTGCGTTGCCAATATTGGTTGTTTGAATAACACAGGACAACATCTTTAAGATAAAGTAAGTGTTAAGCGTCTTATTAGTAGTTGCTTGACTGTGCAGTCTTACACACTGCCACTTTTTAAACAAATGCATCTCATTATCTCTAATTTACAGATGTGCCTTTTGTACGCAGCCCACTTTCAACTCTTTGAACTGAGGAAAAGAAAATTAAGCCATTTTGCCAGTGAGTTGCCTTGAAGCTGAGGGAGAAAGTGCTGTGACCTATTGTCAATGCAGCTTGGTTGGCACTGCAATTTACTGATGACTCTCCAAAGCTATCAACTGGGATAGCTTGTTTCAGCTGAGTCCTTTGGAGCTGACTTCAATTTCAGTCTTCAGACATTTAAAGGCATTATATGGTGTAAATAAAAAGACAGTTGCTGGAATGTGAATCAAATAAACAGGAATGCTACAAATCCACAACACGTTGATCAGCATCTGAACAAGGCTGGTGTTATAATTCTGATGAAAGGCTAATGATCCAAAATGGAACCCATCTTTTTTTTCAGATGTCAATTGATTTTAAAACATAGTATCTTCAAAACAAGAAGAAATATTTCCTGTGTAACATGGGATTCTGCTGTGCACAAATTGGCTGTTATGTTCACTTTCAAATTTCTGTGAAGCACTTTGAGACTTCTCAAAGTGAGAAGGCATTACCAAATGCAAGGATTATTCTAATATGTATATATTATATATATAATAATAATCCTTGCATTTTATTTGGGGAATGGTTCACAAGGATACCAGGAGAAACCATCCCAGGGCCATTGGATCTTTAGCATCTATCTAATCAGGCAGACGGGATCTCAGTTTCATGTTTGATCCAAAGGACAGCACTTCCGATAATGCAACACACCCTGCACTGCTCAGACTATGTGAATTCAAGTCCTGACAAAGGGCTTGAAACCACAACCTTCTGACTCAAAAATGAAAGGACTACCAACTGAGCCAGGCTGACACACACATATGTATTGTGCTCATATTGGAAATATGCTCATGGGAGAATTCAATTACTGCAAAAACAAATTAAAAGTGTACAAGGGTCACTTAATAAAATCAGTATTTTATACAACTATGTGAAACTGGCAGAGTCTCTTTTATGTTAAGGATGCTAATTATACTGTCAAGAATCTAATAGGATCAATGTTTCCACCAAAAATGAGCTAAGCTTAAGGGAAAAAGCAACTTATCAGACATGATCTTAAATGGATTCCGCTCTGGTAATCTTACTAATTATGGAAGACTACTAGCCAACTGGGTATTGAATATCTTTTACAATGTGCACATTTTAGATCGTCCAACATATACAAAAGAAATTTCCTGTTATTTTCTTATGCCAATTATCAAGCAGAGTTTGAGAAATGTACGGAAACAGAGCAATTGCTAACTATTAGCTTTCTGGGATTCTGAAGTAAAGTGAAGTGATGAATAGAATGGCTTTGAATCTCTAGAAGGCAAACAAACCACTTTCCGACATTGCACGCACAGGTGCGAAGATGAAATTACGGCTTCTTGCCCAATTTTTTGGCTTTTCTCAAGCAGCAGTGCTAAGAACAAGTAGAAGCATCCCATAATATTTGCCCTGCTTGTGTATGCATGACTGGAGTCTCAGCCGCAACAGAGCAGGACTTAAGACATGGGCTTATACTGTAATTTGAGGTAGGGTTTGGCAAGACGCACTTAAGTTTCCTCAGAAGGTTCATATTTGGATATTGGCCCAGACATTCCTCCTTCTGGAAGTATTCATTATTTTGGGGGCTCAAACTGCTGAACATTCAATGACAATTGTAATCATTTATGCGTGTAACATAATACAGTAGTGTTTATTTAATCACTCGTAATAAACCCATTCTTTAATTATTTAATTGCAGCGAATGTGGCAGACAACTTGTGAATAGCAATGTCCCACAAATAGCCGTGAAATGAATGACCTATTTTATCTGGAATATTGTTGGCCAGGATACTGGAGAAACACCGTTCTATTTTCGAACAGTGCCACATGATTGTTAATATCCACCTGAACAAACAGATGGGACCTTGATTTTTAACATCTCATCCGTTTCATGGCTGTTTGTAGGACATTACTGTATCCAACTGGGCTACCGGGTTAGTCTGTGAAAACACAGTCACTCCACAGAATATCATCACGTGAAGCGCTTTGGGATGTCCTCCTGACGTCCTATACTAAATGCAAAGATTATGATTATTTTATCCGAAAGATGGAAAGGCTCATTGGTTACATGCATAATTATTTCCTCTGCTCTTAGGAAGCCTGCAAACATTATTGCAGCATATTAATTAATGTTGAAATCATGAGGTTATAATTTGGCTGAATTAAAAATGTTGTTGCATTCTGAGGTCAAATTATAGTCAACGCCTTGCTAATCTTAAACAGTTTACTGCCAAAGAATAATGTTTCAGAATATCTTGTAAGAATACTCAGAGACCCTTTCCTGAGCATGTTTAGACAAGTAGCTCTGCTGCGAATGCACAAGTGCAAAATTAATGGTATTAAAGTCAATTTAAGTGGCATTTGATCTCAGAATTAGCTTTGGTGTTGTGTGGCAGACAGAATATGAAACAAGCCCCACTGGGTTTAGTGCTACCAGTGAGGATTAGCCTTTCAACCCACAACTCAATTACTCAATGTTTGAAGATGGAAAAAAAGGTTCCCACTTATACGATTCTGGATGTTTTGGGCACTTTCGGATTAATTTTATTAGGGTGAACAAAGGAGAGCTCTGGTTTAAATCAATTTAGTTCCCGATCTTTGACAGTTTTAAAATAATAACATTTCACACTAATTGTTTGCCAGATCAGCCTTGAGCAGAGTTTGCAAATGAGAAATATCTAGGGGTTGACTGAATGCTGGCCACATCATTACATAATCTGTTATTGCAGAGTGCGCTGTAACTTCAAAGACAATGTTCTTCTGGGCAGATTAAAAATACAACAGATAGTTTCCAGGAATTTGTTTCACAAATACAATACGTGACCATGCTCAAGAGATTTTGGTACAGAATTAAAGGTAAAGCATTATTTCACGGAGAGTAAAGCATTTAGGTAGCTAAAATTTCTCCAAATTGAAACGGAAATCACATAATTAATCACATAGTTGACATGAGAACAAAGGCTGCTGAAGGAAATAATAAATCTGAACTCTGAACTTCTAGTGTTTAAATTCTATTAGATTCAAATGTACACGTGTCATGCGTTCTTACAGAGGCTCTGGCAAGATTCAGGAGAGCTGTGCGATATTTCTTTAACCGTTCAAAGACTGAAACGTGCCAGAGACAAGTGCAAAACAGAACAGAATTACACTTTGTTTTGTTCCGTCTAGTTTCTTATTCCAACATCTGTTGGTTGTTACGGCCATTAAACAGAAACTGGGCTATAAATCAGCCAGATTTGTGAAAACCCTCCAAGTTACAATTTTCCTCTGAAGTAAGCAATCAGAAGAAGGCAGTGTGAATTATGCAATGGACTTATGATGAGCAGTTAATGAGGTCAATAGTGCATGTAATAAATGAAATGTGCTCAGACAGGAGGAAAACAGTGTGGAAAAGCCACCAGTTGCTGAATGGATGTGGTTGTTTGAACAGGTTTGATTGTACTGTGGAATAGCTACAGTATGTTGTCGTTCATCATGCTGTTTCCATTATTGCCAGTGGACTAGGATCTAGTATATAGACAGACAGGAGGGGTGCACTGCACGAAGAGAGATTTTTAAAACTGATAATAATAATAATAATCTTTGAATTGATATAGCACTGTAGGGAGGATCTCTTAAAGCGTTTTCTGGCATTTACTGTGAAGTGACCGTACTTTGTAGGTGAACACAGCAGCTAATTTGTACAGAGCAATGCCCCACAAACTAAGTGTAAACATATACACTTTTAATTCATTTTATGGTTTTCTGTTGTAAAGACTTTGATGACAGATCTGCGGATGCTGCAGATAATGAATGGAGCAGCCGCCAAGATGCTTTCTGTGGGGTTTAATATGTATTTACAGCTGAAGCAAAAGGTCAATAATCAGCATTCAAGCTGCATCCACTAAATTTAATCTCGCATCAGTACATAATGCGATTTGAGAATGGGATTAAAATATTGGGGCCCAATTTGTGGTCCATGTGTTTATGTTTTTTCCACTGGAAAAATAGTCTGGAGGTGCACTTTGACTTTCGTACCCCTCTGCACCCCTTAACCCTCATCATGAAGTTCTCATTATCACTGGTGGTCAGTGAAACTGAGCCCTGTCTGGCAGGATGCAGTGCGTTTGAGTTTTCCACATTTGCTATCCTGCTAAGGATTAAGTTAAGAGTAGCAGAGACTTGAGAAATCATTGCCAGCTCCATCACAAATGTCTTCTCCATCACAAAATGTCAGGTTTCAAAATTCAGAAAGACAGCCGAGAATCCTGCTACTCCAATGACGTGCTGGGGGAGGTTTGCATAGTCAGAGGCGCCATCTTTTGGATGAGATGTTAAAGAGATTACCCATTTGCCTGTTCAGATGGAAGTTAAAGATTACATGGTTCTATTCGAAAAAAGAATGGAGTATCCTGGCCTTCAATCCACTGATTCAAAATTGGTCATGGATCTCCTGGCTGTTTGTCAGACAAATTGGCCTGCAAATACAGTCATTATAATTTACAATAATTCCCATGAAGTGTTTTGAGGTTTGGTGATGACATAGATAAGAGAATAATTCCTGCATTTGATTATAATGCCTTATCACATCGTCAAGACTCACAGGATTTTACTGTGAAGTGTTGTGACTGTAAATGTAGACAAAGATGATATATCAAATGTAATTATTATCATTAATACTAAGCTACATTTTTTTAAAAGAGAGAAAATATTTCAGGTATTTTCTTTNAAAAAAAGCTGGTTTCTGTTCTTCCAATTTTATACCATATCATATACAAAGCAAAGTTATAGGACCTCAGGACATTAGACACCAACTTTACTAAGCATTAGCAGGCAAAACTCTTATGTTGAAAGTTAAACTTTGATCCATATAATACTATAGTTTCATGTGAACAGTCATAGAAATGTAGAATTCTTCAGCACAGAGGTGGTCATTTGGCTCCTGTATGTCTATACTTCTGTGCCTTTTTCTGAAAGTTGCCCTTTTTATTAGTCCCATATTAGTCCTTCGCTTGTGTTCTTTTTATCTTATTTTAATCTTTTTCCTGCTAGGATGATACAATTGCAGCAAATGACATTTCCTAATAAATTTCTTAAAATGCTGCCAAAGCTGTGGAATAGCTGAATAAATAAATCTTACTTTTGCTGCCTGCTCAGACCATAATGAAATTCTCCACATATAAGAAGCTTCAAAGATGGTGGAAAACAATAGTTTGGGGGATTTAGTTGTTTTCTGACATTTATTAAGCATTGGCATTAATGATGGCATTAATAGCGCCAACTCTATCATTGGCGATTGGCATTTTCAACAATGTTGTTAACTGCGATTCGCCAGTTAACATTTGTTCCAATATTCCATTTAATATTCCTAAAAATTTATTTAATTTGTTTAATGCTGTATTTATATTGAATGACTGACTGTGAATTACAGTCATTCACCACCACGTTTACAGTATAAATGGAGATTCAAGCAGCAGGCATAATGCTGGAGCTGCGGACACTGCCATGCATAACTAGTTTGTTCGACTTGGGTTCTTTAATATCTGCATCTCTATTTTCCTTCTCTCCAGCCTTTTAATTGTGATTCAGTCGCATTTGTGAACAAGACTTCTGAAATTGTTCAATGTTCTTGCTGTGTTGGATTGTGAAATATCTTGTCACTGATTTTCATGTGTAATATCAGTATACATTATTTTAAATTAAATAAAGAAATATTACCAGTAGCTGAGCCTACTACAGTATTTCAAATATTCTTTAAGAATTGTAATAATACAGGGAAATCCCTCTATCTATATTACGGTCAGCTGGGCACAATTTCTCACTGACTGTGTGATAAACGAAGTGCAATAAAGATGGCCAATTTACAAACTGGAGTCACTTCCTGCGAATTGTATAATAATATAATAATCCTTGCATTTGATATAGCGCTTTTCATGTTTTCTAGACGTCTCAAAGAAGAATATACTGTACAGAATACAGAATATATTGTAAAGTGAATTAACTATATTTATGGGCGAAACGCGGCAGTCGTGGATTGAAGTGACCAATTTCTTAATTGTTTTTTTTCTTGAGGGATTATTTTCAAGAATAATCCTGTGTATACTATGCACAGGAAGTGCTGCTGCTGAAAGTGTTACAGGAGGCATGTCCCAGTGCCCAGCACATAGGAAGTGACACCAGTGACATTTCCTACAAGTTGGCCATTTTTTGGTATAGGAAATTTGGTTTGTGAGGGTCCATTGTAGACTCTTGTTATCTCAAAAGGCACTATAAGTGGGTTCCCCTCCACATGTCTGTTGTGTATAAAAGATAATATAATAATCCTAGCATTTGATATAGTAGCGTATTGCATTGTCGAAGGGTCTCAAAACATTTTATAGGATATACTGTTGAGTTTAATGACTGCATAATTGTAGGCCAATATGAATTGTTATGTATTATGTAAACATCGCACATGGTTTACACTAACTACACAATTTGCATTCATGTATGGGGCATAACAGATCTCAATATATACTTTTCTATATTTGGAGGTGAGCTAAAGACAAATGAACCTTTGAGTTCAGATATCTGTACGACATTGATTAAACATAATAGTTTGTACCTGTTGACATATACAATTTCTCCTCCTGGAGCCTCGGTTTTTGCTTCCAGCTCTTGAACTTCTTCCGCGATAGTCTTGCGAAACGATCTCTTAATGCTGAAAGTTAAAATGATGAAAATCTTTGGTGAACAGAACATTAGAAGACATAAACGCTATTCGATATTTAAAGAATGACATTTCTTTCATTTACACAGTTCTGAAAGAATTCTAGTATCGGGTAATAACTTTTATTCTGGTCATACGAGGGTGAAAAAAACATACATAGAATTTAATGATTCATAAAATGCGCTTCCGACAATGCAGCACTGCCCCCAACACTGGATTGGAATGCAAGCCAAGGCTATGAGCTCAAATTTCTGCAGTGAGACAAGGGGCTTTAACCCGCAATCTTCTGACTTATGAGACGAAAGTCCTACCAGCTGAGCTAGGCTGACAAATACAAGATATTCAAGGTAAAACAAGAGCACTTTGGGTATCAGCTCTGACAGTGAGGTATGTGTAAATACGACAGGAATATCGTGTGGATAGACATGCAGCTGACACAGACTGACATGTTCAGTGGAAACCCATGAAGATACTCTGACGATATTTACCTCCCTTAGTTTGTTTTCAGTAATTGTTCGGTCCCATTGGCAGACTTCTACAAATTTTACCTTAAATTATTTCCTGCACATTTCCCTTTTATTAGAGCAGGTTATTTTCCTGAACTAGAGTACTGCATTCCAAATCTTTACACATTCTGCCATGAAAAGATTTGCTCCAATGTAAATATCCTAATTTCACATTGCTAACTTTGAGCCAAGCAACAATTGGCCTTCACTTCCATTTAATCCATTTAGTTGTCGTTTTTTTTAAAAACTGCAAAATAAAATTTAGTTATAATTGCTGGTGTTTAACCAGCTAAAACCGCAGATGTTGCCATTGAGAGCATTGTCATATTTTATTATTTGGTGTTCGTTTTAAACCATTTGAAATGATTGAATCAAATTAATTTATTTTAAAATTTAATTTGTCTCTGAACATGAAGCAACGAGTTCCAAGTAAAAAAATGAAGCTCAAAAGTATGACACTGTTCTCAAAGGCAACCTATGCAGTTTTGACTGAATCGCTCCAGCAGTACCCAACACAAGGGTCTCCAAGCCTTGCCTCCTGCCAACCTGCACCAAATACTATCTGGAATTAGGTAAACGGGGTGCGATTGGATTCCATTCCAGTGAGAATGTGCATTATATCCAGACACAGGGAAATTTCCATGTGTAAGTGGAATATATATGTGGAACACTCAATCCGGTTTAGATACTCTTTAAGGATGGACATGTGTCAGACCCCTGCCTGACCAAAACAAGTCATGTGGATTTAGCATTTTGTTATACGTACACTTTGAATGCGAGATCCATTGACAGAGAAGCAATCGGGATGAATATGAAGCCCATCCAAAAAACTCCAGATTTGAGCAATATTGAAGCCTGCAGAGGATGAGAAACATTACTGTATAATGATGAATCAAACAACAATTTTATAAAGGAATTTACAAACAAAAAAATATATACAGGTATTACATACAAACATTGCAATGTTAAAACAATATATTTACATCTAAGCCTCATTTTATCCCAATCTCTATCAAGCAACTGTATTCAGGATGTATCCAAAATATTAAGGATCAACAAAGTCACCAATTTTCACCCACATTTCATTAAAAAAAAGGTTAACTGATCTTTTTCCCCCAGTGTCGGGATGGTGTACACCATATTGTGAACTTAGTTGTGTGCATTCTTGAAGTTATATGCAGTTACAAAACTAAATAGTGAATTTGGTAACGTTTCAGAAGGGATTTAAAGGGTATGGGGAAATGCACGATTGTGGGACTAAACGTATAGCTATTTCAGAGAAACAGAACAGGCATGATGGGCTGAATGGCCTCCTTCTGTGCTGTAAATTAACGTGAAACTTCTGTGCCTCTGAGGGCTTTTTTGGTTAAAACAGAAAAATTGTATTTAAATCATATCATCGTCATGATGCATGAAGAAACTAAAGTCAGATCACAGAAGAGAAGTAATGGAAATATCCAACAACAACAACACATTGTTGGGAGGATGTCCCAAGGCGCTGGGCAGTCAGAGATTTAGACCCGAGCAGGTGGTTTGGATCAGGAGAATGGAGGGCAGGGAGGGTAGGGGTAGGACGGTGGCTGAATATACAGTCGAAGAGGAGGGTCTTGAGACATGCTTTGAAGGAGGTAAGGCAAGGAGCAAGACAAAGGGGATCTGTGGGATGGAGTTCCAAAGGGTGGGGGCAGAGAAGCTGAAAGCCCGACCGCCGATGGTGGGGCAGGTCGGGCGGGGACTTGGAGCAGGCCAGCGCCTGCTGAGTGGCGGAAGTGGACAGTTTGATGTGGGATTAGCAGGTCACAGAGGCAGGAAGGAGCAAGGCTGTGGAGGGCTTTGAAGGTGAAGACGAAGATTTTGAACTCTATCCTCTGAGGGATGGGGAGCCAATGGAGCCGGGTGAGGGTTTTGGGGTCACGGAGCCTGGTGCGGGAGAAGCCATGAGCTGTAGAGTTCTGGATGATCTGCAGCTTGTAGAGGGAAGAGCTAGGAAAGCCGACAAGCAGAGAGTTGAGTACTGGAGCCAAGATGTAACAACAAGGCGAAGACTGGGATGATGCGGAAAAGGAGTTTAGTGTGGTTGAGTATTATGGACAGTAGAGGTTTCAATTAATTGGATTTTGTGGAGCTGGGAAAACTGATGAGGATAGTATTGGAATAACTGACGCGGGATGTGATGAAAGTGTGGATGGGGGTTTTGGCTGCATTTGATGTAAGGTATGGTCAGAGGGGGGCAATGTGGCAGAGATGGAGGGGAGCGGTCCTGGTCAAGTTGTGGGGTAAGGACAGCTGGGGGGAGGGAGGTGGGAAGGGAGCTGGAGGCACAGAGCCCACCCACATAAAATATAAAACAAAAACCCAACTACAAAGCCTCAGCCTACATCATCACCTCTGCCCTATCTACCCTACCAACATTGGGCAAGCTTTCATCCATTCTGCCCCTGATCTCTGGAACTCCAGAGCTCTGTTTTCTGGTCTCAGACTGAGAATGAGAGTTTTAAGAGCTGAAAGGAAAGTCAGGTAATTTTAGCATTAGCACCTCAAATGGCCCATTTATACTGACTGCACTTTCAGTGCTGATTTAGTGCAGTTTCCCAGAGATCGTTTTGGAAACAAACTGCTGCTGTTGCCCAGAGTATAAATCCAGTTATACTGCAACCAATTGTAATGAATTTTAAATTTATATTGCAAGTGCAGTTTCTCTTCAGTCCCGAGCGAGTTGTATAAATCTGGTCTCCTGCTCTGAATCATTTTACTGCTGGAAGCAAACGCAATATCATTTCTATTAAAAGAAGACAAAATGGTCTCTGTCGAAACTTTTGCGTAAAAAGTCTGGACATGGTTGCAGTACAACTGCAAGAGATGGTCAGAGGCAGCAGTCCAAAATTTTCTCTGTGACCTTGTCTCACTCCTGACGTGATTGAAGAATCCAAATGTGCACCAGTTTATAATAATAATAATCCTTGCATTTGATATAACGCTTTTCACATCGAGAGGACGTCCCAAAGCGCTTCACAGAACACACTGTAAAGTGAATTGACTGTATATTTGTGGGCGAACGCCGCAGCCAATTGCGCACAGCAGTGTCCCACAAACAGTCATCGATTGAAAATGACCAATTTATTATTGTTTTTGGTTTTGGAGGGATTATTATTAGGCTGTGTGTGGAGTAAGGAAACTTGCCCAAGGTTTCGCCCTGACCTGCCTGGAATTGAACTCAGGTCTCTCACTTGCAAAGCGAGTGCTCAAACCACTGAGCCACAGGACTCCACAGTTTGGTTGTAATTGTACGGGAAATTCACAAAGTCCTATTACCCCAATGTTTTTCCACCACCCTACAGTGCATTGACCAACAATTAAAACATGTGGAAGAATGGTGATATTTAGAAATACTTTGCTTTACATAATTGTATTCAGTACAAATGTTTAATTGTATTTTCATGGCAAATGATCAGTCGCCACATTCGGTACAACATCTTCCATAGCACATATGATGGATTGACGAGGCAAAATGCTCATTTCAACTCATCCGTAGTTTCATATTGCTAAAGGGGGAGACGGAGGGGCGGGGAGGGAGCGGGTAAAAGGACTTTGTGGCTATCCTGTAATATTCATCTTGAACTGCTTCAGAGGCAGAGCTGTACTGCAACATTAAACATTCACAACAAAAGCAGTGCAGTACCATCTCAGATCAGTCACCAATGTAAGGCAGTAGGAATTTAAAAGGAGACGAGAGTGAAAGTGTTGCAACCACATAGTATATGTCAATCGTATATCAGATTCCCTGGTGGAGAGCAACTTCATGCTGTTAGCACATACCTTGCACTGCTGCCTGAAGACTGAAATGCATATTTATTTGTTCTTGCGTTTGACAGGCTGACAATATCTGTCATTGGTCCAATACAACAAAATACCTCGTCTCTTCTACAACCAAAACAAAGTTTGTTTGACCTGCCGGGTAAGATGCTGCAGGTATTTGGGGGTTTAGGAACAACCTTCACTCAGTTCTGAATTTCGCATTGAAATGAGACGGCTTCCTGAAAAGGTTGAGCCAGTGTTTGTTATTTTATTTATACCTACTGGAGAACTCTGAAAGATGACTTGTGTGTAGTAAATAAAGTGGAATGTGTATCACAAATACTATGCTTCTTGCTGCTTTCAGAATTAGGATAATTCTAACATTTAATATCTGTTAAAAAAATCTTCCGCCCCACCCTCTTCCACAATAATTTTTTTTAAAACTTTTTTTAAATTAGTTGTATTTACATGATTGTGTAACTAATATTTAAAAAATCATCCTTTTGGTGCAGTTATCCAACAGAAACTAAGCCTATTGTGGCAACTCTATCAATATTTTACTGTCTGGATGTTAAAAGCTCTGTACGTTTTGCTGTGACTTTTGATAAATACAGATAAATACAGTATTCAAACTTTCATTCTTAATTGTATTAATTGTATGCTTAATGTTCCCAAACTCCAACTGAAGTAACTTGGGGAATAATTAGCAGTACATTAAATAAAAAGATGAAATATTTAATACATCAAATTACATCCAAACTCATTACATTAGTAGAAAGGGGGGAATGAACATGCTTAAGTCCCACCATAAATAGTTCAGTTAAACTGATTTGTAGATTTCTTTTAAAAAATTGTTAAAAGTATTTCATATTTTTTCTCTATAAAAATCTTAATATTTGCTGAGACATTATTAAGCCAGCTGGTCCCATCCCAACTCACTAAATGAATCATCATTCGCTCAACTCAACAGAGCCTGGGAATTTTCAGATCTCAGTTTTATGAGATACCCAAGTGTATCTCTGCTCCAGACAAGCATCAAAACAATTGCGTCTAGCTATGGCTTTGAGTGGGACAGAGTGAAAAGTCTATTTTATTTATTTTTTTACAGTTAAACGAATAAACGTACAAGGGCAGGATTCTAAAGGCTTACATTTTTCAGACTCCAGGGAATCTTGTAAGTAATACCGATGGTTTTCCTTAAATATTTTCACAAACTTTTCATTTGCTTTCATTAAGACACAAGTGCAATTGTAGCAAACCTCGCAGCTTCCTTCATCACTTATTTGAGGCACAATAGGAGGATTTAAATCATCATGGGCTGCAGATGAATGAAGTATTTGGGTTTAAAAGACCTCTTTAAGGGCACTGATTGACGAGGTTTCCTTCTCTATCCCCCAAACAAATGGCAGGGCTTCCAAAACCCAGAGACTTAAGGATTTACTGTTGTATTGCCACTATTTTAGTCAGGTTTTTAAATCTAAATGTTATTATTATTCAATCTTATTATTTCACTTGTGATGGGGCAGGGATAAAATATCATCTTGTTGCCTTACGTGGAGCCTTTGGTGCTTCTCTGTGTTTCTCTCTCTCTCTCTCTCTCTGAGTGTATGTGTGTGTCTCTGAGCGGCAGGAGGTGGTGAGCTCCTGGAGTAGTCAGACACTGGCCAGCAATGCTGTTTTTTGGTGGATCTCCAGGCCTTCAAATGTAGTCCGGGGTGGAAACAGACCCTTTTGACTTGCACTGGTTAGTGTCTGCCCCCCACCTCCCCATCGAATGGGCCACCCAGTTTTTGTTAAAGAAAGCATTAATAATTGCTCTTGCAGCAATATGTGTTATTTCTTCATGGTTAGTTTTTATCAATAGTGAAAAAATATAGGTTAGCAGTAATATATGTACCACAACAGAGGCAATCAACCTCCCACACCCCTGGCAATTTTCTGCAAAATCTGTTACATTTTGTTGCAAAATTTGTCAGGTTTTCCTGTAAATGTTGGCAAATATTTCTGCAATTTTCTATTGTCCTTGACCATAGTCATGCCCCTCTCCATCCCCCATCATT